TTTAATTTAACCATCAGCAAACAGTTAACAGTTGATTCAGCCACAAAGGGTGTTGACTGTGGTCCTGCGATGCAGCTTTCCACCTAGCGAGAAACAAGTAAGGAAGAACTTATGGTCAAACTTTCAATTAAAAATACCGGTAGCGGACAATTCCAGCATCCACCATACGCAACGTGCAGCAGGAGCCAGGTAAAATATTATAACAAACTCTGCACGGGCTAATTTTTTTTTCCTTTTTCAGAGGCAAATCAGGAAGCACAACTTCTTGCTTTGCACAAATCAGATCACAAAAACTTTACAATAGAAAGTTTATTTTTTTGTTGATTTCCAGTCAGGTTTTTTTAAAAACAAATAATAATAATAATAATAATTAAAAAAAAAAAGCTGATCACAGTTTGCTCAAACAGCCAGACTTTGACTATATTTGTAACTTTGTTCACAAAAAACATACATCACAGAAGCTGCGCTTAATAAGAGCCACTTCTAAGAGTTCGTGCAAAGAGTCATATACAAAGGCACAGCAAGGACATACTGCTTGGAATCACAGTTTTCGTCACAGATTCACTATTCACTACACGTAGGACAAGTTCAGTTGATTTCATCATTTCACCTCTACAACAGCATTAATTACACAGGAATTATATAGGTAGTTTGAATAAAAATATTTTTAACAGCTTGGAGCTATACAGACATTAACACTTGACCACACATGCACAGTTAAGCAGGTTGAGTGCAACACATAACATTTGTACTAAACCGGGGGAGGGTTTCCTTTCTCTCTCTCCTTTTTTTTTAAGCTTATTTTTTTTTCTTTTTGTTCTTTTTTGTTTTGTTTTGTTTTGTTTTGTTTTAACAGTTACTTCAAGTAACACAGCTCGCTTCATATAAATAAGTTAAAACATCTATTATTTTTTTTCCAAGACAAAGCCATTCAAGACAAAGAAATGTACGATAAAAGCAGATCTACTTATACACGCGAGAGAATGGTAATAAACAGGCTCATGATTAAAAGATGAATAAGGGCGACAAGAACAGGGTTTCTTCACAGAAGTAACACAAGGAAGTTTTAGAAAGTCAACTTAGTACTGACATGAGACGACGCAGGGTCAGCTAATACTGCTCAGTACTTTTAATTGATCAAACGCTTAGGGACGGAATGCCCCTCCTGCAGCTGCCATGCTCATACTTTTCAGCTTATTATCCTTTTTCCATTTCATTCTCCTGTTTTGGAACCAGATCTTTATTTGTCTCTCTGAGAGGCAAAGAGCATGTGCTATTTCAATCCTTCTTCTGCGGGTCAGGTATCTATTGAAGTGAAATTCCTTTTCGAGCTCCAAGGTCTGATAGCGGGTGTAAGCAGTCCGAGCCCTTTTCCCTTCTGGTCCCCCTATGTTGTCTGGAAAAGAAAAGTACATGATTTAGATTCTCAGCAGCCTCTCGGAGCCTTCGTGTCTCATTGCAGCTACCAGCAACCAGGACCGTTATTCTCAGTCCTGCTTGGTTTTGTTTCTGGTTTGGATAAACGCTCAACAAGTTTCCCCATCCAGCCCCTCTTAGGAAAGGCTTGGGGGAGGGGGATTTGGTGGTCTCGGTGAGTTTTCGCTTGGATTTGCGATCCGATTTTTTCTAATTTAATTTTTTCAGTTGGTTTTTTTATTATTATTATTTTTTTTAATAAGGTTAGTTCTCCCCCATGCCTCCTCCATATAAGCTGATTTGGAGGATGTCTCTGCTGATAGCTGGGTTTCAGAGCTGAGAGAGCAAAGCTGAAGCGTGCAGCCCTTTCCCACGGCTGAGCTGGGGAAGGCTCTGGGAGGCAGCGAGCCTCCGGCCGCTCTCCCAGCAGCGAGGGCAGGGCAGGTACCCGGGGCTGAAAGTTGCTTTGCTCCCCCGCACCCCTCAAGCCCTCTACGCCGAGTTTGGGGCGACTCGTCCTCCCCCCTCCCCCACGGCTTCCCAGCAGTGAAAACTGCCCTTCTCGCCCTTTCCTATTCTCTTTTTAATACGTCTAAGCAAAATAAATGGGGTCAGCCGCGCCGTTCCCACTGGAAGATCCCCCATTCAGAGGAGAGCCGGGAGCAGCCTCTGCTCCCGATCTCCCTTCGGCAAGGCTCCTTCTACTCCCCCCGCCGGCGCTGGGAGCCAGGCGGGCGGTGTTTTCGGGGCCAAGAGGTTTTTTTATCCTTTCGGGGGGGACTCGCCCAGAGAAGGGAGCGTGCTTCCCTGCGATCAGAGTTGTGGTGTGCGCGGAGACTGAGACTGCCCGCTCTCACGCCCTCCTCTCCCCCTCTCCCCGACCTTGCTCGGCGCAGCCACCCGGTTTACATTAAATCCTCCTTTTCCTCCAGAGAAATAAAGAAAGAACAGGGTATTTGCTTTACCATGACTTATGTGCAGTTTTCGCATCCAGGGGTAGATCTGGGGCTGTGAAGGCTGGGCTGTGCTTTGGTCGGTCGGGGCACTTGCCTGCTCGCTGCTTGCTGGAGTGTCTTCCTCAGTCCCAGACGAGGTGCCAACCCCGTCTCTGCTGATGTGCGTGTTGCTGCTGGAATTGGACGAAGTGCTGGTGGAGTTGGCGAGGGAGTTTTTCACCCCGTGGTGACTCTCGCTGACAGGCGAACCGGCCACGGCGGTGCAGGGCAGAGGGTCAGGGGGAGGCGAGTGGGAAGACGTCGCGGGCTGGTTGTACCTGGGCTCTGTCGAGGCAGAGGTGGTGTTGGCCGGGTAACTGCGGGGTCTCTCATTGGCACCAAAGTGAGTGGAAGCAGAGCGCCCGACGCTGAGGTCCATGCCATTGTAGCCGTATCCGTACCTGCCGGAGTGCATGCTGGCGGAGTCCCTGTATTGCTCGCTCACCGAGCTGTGATCTCCATAATTATGTAACTGGTAGTCCGGGCCATTTGGATAGCGACCGCAAAATGAGTTTACAAAATAAGAGCTCATTTGTTTTTTGATATGTGTGCTTGATTTGTGGCTCTTGGTCGTTTTGTGCGTCTATAGCACCCTTGCACAATTTATGATGAATTATGGAAATGACTGGGACATGTACTTGGTTCCCTCCTACGTAGGCACCCAAATATGGGGTACGGCTTCACATCACGTGCTTTTGTTGTCCAGTCGTAAATCCTGCCTGATGACCTCTAGAGGTAAACTCGTGCACTGGTGGGGGAGCTGGGAGGGCGCGGGCGGCCCGGGGCGCGCCTCCCGTGCGCGCCGCCGCCGCCGCCGCCCGCCCGTCCGCCGGCCTCCAGCGCCACCCGCTGGCGGCGCGGGGGATGGCGGCGGCTCCGCGGGGTCGGCCCGGGGTGACGGCCCCCGACGGCGGCGCGGAGCGGCGCGGACAGGCGCGGAGCGGAGCGGGGCTCGCCGCCGCCGGCACCGGCACCGGCGGCGAGGCTACGGGGCTGGTGGGCATCCCGCCTCCGAGCCGGTCGCCGGGGAGCTGGGCGTGCAGAGAGCGCTCCGCTTTGTGCCTGCCTTCTCCTCCGTGCAAGGCTTTTTTTACAACTGTTCACAAATCCTGTACGATCCGTTCTCGGATGCTGGCAAGGCTTATGTCCCTTCTACATATATATATGTGTACATAATTTCCCCCACACTTATTCTCGTGCTGGAGCTTTCGAGAGGCAGCCGGGTCCTGCCGATGTGAAATGGCAGATATCTACTAAAGATAAATATCTGCAGCGTTTTTTCCAACTAGAGGGTCAGATTCCGGGCGACTTTACGGCTGCCGTTATTTCATAGCCTCTCGGAGAGAAAAAAAAATCCTCTAAATGCGGTGGTAGCCATTTTGCATTATATTCTCCAGATTTGGCTTTTAAAACATTTAGAGTGGTACCCAAATGGTGCTGCCTACCAAACAAAAGAGTCTCGATGCATATACAAGTGCATTTGTACACAGCTTCACATGCACACTCATGCACACACACTATAATATAGAGAGATGTAACGTATATATTAATCAGTATTTTTTTTTCTGCGCTTATTTTACTTTTACAAATCTCGAAGTGGAAGCATTTTATGGCAGCTATTTTTCTTCAAAGTATCAATTTGTTTTTTCCAGTGCTAAGTAATGTGAATGTGAATTAAGATACCGCAGAAGCAGGAAAGAAAATCCCCAAGTTAATAAGACCTTTTCTTCAAATAAGAAAGAAGGAAGGAAGGAAGGAAGGAAGGAAGGAAGGAAGGAAGGAAGGAAGATAGAGTGATAAAGGGAAAAAAAGATCGATCTAAGCTCACGAAACCCCAAGAAATGTAGTCCATAATTCAAAGCCCCTTCAGTGCAGAGCTGAGCTCACCAAAACCTTAGCATAAGCTCAACGGGAACCACAGAAAATTGCCCGCTTCAAAACCTCTTCCCTCGCTTCCCCTGAAGTTTAACACCGAGCTTTTACTTTAATACTATAGTGCAGACTAAGCAGTTTAGCGGCATTTAAAAAAAAAAAATCTCCCTGCAATTCATCTTTGCTCTAACTGAAAGTTTATACACAGGGATTTATAAAACATTTTCTAAAAGAAATTTTCTTATTTTTGCTATTTAAATATCTTATACATAACTAAGACTTTTTTCTCCCCTGCGGATCATAAACTCCCAAACACAGAATAGCGAGGTGGCCCGCCGTAACGGGAGCTAGCAAAAACATAAACCAAACATTTTTGAAAATCTCTTGTCTTTCTACAACATAAGCATTTCTAATCTAAAAAAAAAAATATATATATAAAAAATAATTTGCTTTTCTCACACAAACACACCAGGGACACCCACCCACTTACCCATTTGAGATGCTAATCTCAAACATTTAAAATTCTGGGCCAATTCTCTAATGCTTTAACCGACGCCATATATGCTTTAGGAAGGTGGTTACATACATACATGCCTGTAGCTCGAAAGCTGGGGCTTCCACATATATTAGAGTAAGTCACAGATGATTGCAAATATACATCTTTTAACCAAGCCTTTTGGGGATTAATAGACTGTGACAAACCTATAGGATTTCAGTAGCAGAAGGAACACAAGGTAAATAATAATAATAGTAATAGTAGTAAGCACTAAGGAAAGGCCTGGTAGCGTTTATTAAACGTGGTTCTACTCCCCTGACTTTTCCTCTGTTTCTTCGCTGCTGGGCTGTGTGGAATTTATGAATTTGTTTTCCTTTTTCCATTTCATCCGCCTGTTTTGAAACCATATTTTAATCTGGCGTTCAGTAAGGCAGAGAGCGTTTGCAATCTCAATACGTCGTCTTCGGGTTAAGTATCTGTTAAAATGAAATTCCTTCTCTAACTCTAGCGTTTGGTATCTGGTGTAAGTTTGCCTCCCTCGTCTCCCATGTGTTCCATATACTGTACCTGTAGAAGTAAAGACAAAACGATCGCATTGGACAGGGCCCAGTGATTTCAGACCAGAAAGAGCGATTAGTATATTCTGCCTCCTTTTGCAGACACAATCACGGGGAGTGGGGGAAGCTGCTCTGGTTTCCTGGAGGCTTTTAAATTTTTTTTTTTTTTTTTTAATTCTCTTTTTTTTCCTGCTTGACGAGGTGTAAATGCAGATGTGCAGTNTTTTTTTTTTTTTTTTTAATTCTCTCTTTTCTCCTGCTTGACGAGGTGTAAATGCAGATGTGCAGTGTGCTTACGGTGGCGGGGTAAGTGGGATACAAAGAGGCTTTAAGGTGGACCTAGGGAAGGTGCAGGAGGTAGCACGGTGCGAGTCTCTGAGCAGAGGCTGCTCCGTGCGCGCTGGGAGCCTGGGCGCTCACACAGGCACAGGCACACGTGTGCTATCCAGCAAGCCTCACGCATGTGTCTGTGCGTGTGTGTAAGCACGCACATGTGGCTGTGTTGACACAAACACACAGCCATTGCCATGGCCGGCACTACAGAAGTATAATTATAGACACGAGCTAAAGATCATAGAAGAGCGTTTTGCCATTGGCTCTGGAATTTATTGCTCTTGAATGCAAAGCAGCATCGGAATGATCTTGCTAAAAGTTTAATTTTCAAAAAAAGGAGTGAGACCCACCCTGCAGCAAACATAAACTCGGGAGGATGGGAGAGAAGGCGAGTCATTAGCAAACACTTGAAGTAAACGTTTAAATTTGGGATTATAAAAATAAATGTCACCCCAGTACAACCCTCCCACTCCACCCCCACCCCCCATTCCCCCAGCACCACTCCTGTACAGAATAGTTCAATTATGTGTAGTTCACTCCTAAGTCTGAAAAAATTCGCGATGCCATGGAAGTGCGCCCACGGCCCCAGAAACGTGCTCTCAATATCCAATACTCACAGACTAATGAGCTGGGGGAGGGGGGCGAGTTGGAATGTACCACAAATGCTTTGGATCCTCAGTACAGAGGGCATGTTCCATGCATCGCTCTCTGACAACGAAGAAGCAGAGCAGAGGCTTTGGGATGGCTTTAAGAGGTAGATAAAAGTGCTTTGTTCCTTTTAATTTTTTTTCGCCCTACTTTCCAAGGATTGCCCTGTAACTTTCACCAGTAAACCTACATACTGGGATTTTGGCCACCATTCCCTGTGTGCCAACGTGCCAGGTCTAAACCTGCGAAGGTTTCATGTTACATATTGCTCTGCAGGAGCCGTGTTTCTCCAGAAATCTGGACTTTATATAGAAAAAAAAAAAAAAAA